AATACTGCATTCTCACTCATGAGTTTGCTGTGAAAGTATAACGTTTTAATTTTAAAATTAATACAAAATGCAGGGATGGCTGTCGGTTAAGTGTCCGACTCTTGACTTCGGCTCGGGTCACGATCTCGCAAGTTGGAGCCCCGCATCGGGCTCTGTGTTGATGGTGCAGAGCCTGTTTGGGATTCTCTCCCATCTCTGCCTCTCTCTCTCTCTCTCGCTCTCTTGCTCTCTCTTGCTCTCTCATTCTCTTTCTCAAAACAGATAAATAAACTTAAAAAAAAATTAATGCAAAATATGGATTATTCACTCTTACAGATGGCCGAATAGAACGTAGAGGCTGCAGGTTTGTAGAAGTAGAACATCTGGGTAAAAGCCAAGTTCCTTTTCTCATTAGCTCCTCCATTATCTGTTTCTCATTAATATGCTCGAAATCTGCTATTCTTTAGGGCCCCCGGCAAGCATCTGACTCCATTCCTGTTAAGTAGTGTTTTCCAAAGTATGTTCCCTGGGGATGACTGTTCCATTGATATGATATGAAAAAAGGATCCTGGTCAAATGAGTTCAGGCAAAGCTAGGTTAAATAAAATAGCTTCAGGTCAGTTTGCTGAAAATCAGTCACCAGTAGCCAATTCACTAAAAGTCAGTTCACCAAATACGAATTCCATGAAAGATCCATTTGTGAGATATGCCAAATTTACCAATGGTGACTTAGCAGCTTTTTCAGAAATGTTCAGTCTGGATTTATGGACACTGAAAGATGCTTTTCGGAGTAAACTAACCTTGAGATGCTTCCTGAGACATCACTAGAAAAAAAATCTGGAAGGTTGGCAAAACAAAACTCAGTAGTGTTTGAAAATTTCCTCTGTGAAATACATTTTTTTCTGTATTCAGGTTTGGCACTTTTTATGTGTCAGGATTGTTTCAGCTATATTTGGCTTCTTTTCTGTGCTTTTGAAATGTAATTTTCTTTCGGTTTTTAAGCGCTTATAATGTTCTCTCACCAATTCCTAAGTAACTTATTAGCCCTAATTTTGCATTTCTGTCTGTTTAGAATTTAATTAGATTTAGATTGATTTAAAATTCTGATATTGGAGGGATGCTTTTGAATTTATGTTTAATTTAAATGTTAATTGCTAGAGATACTAAATTAAAGCTGACAGGCCACTGGAGGAATTGAGGAAAAGAAAAACTTCAAATGCTTAACATTTTAAACCAAGTTAAAAACGACCTTCAGAAACGTCCAAAAGAAACCAGAGCCAGCCTAAGCAATCTCATTTGTAGCAAATTATCCATTTATATTAATTTGTTTTACAAACTCTTTCCCTCTTGCCTAGTCTTCTGCCATTTGCACATTCCTGTCGCAGCTCTGAAAACGTTCCCATAAGCCATAAGTCTGAGTGACCATTGGTAAATTTATGAAAATCAGCAAATAATTCACCAAATTGATCTTTCAGTGAATCAACCTGGTTTTCCAGTGAAGTTAAACTGGTTTCTTTGCTGCAGAACTTCTCAGAACTTCTCAGAATTTCTAGTAAACTAAGGTGTATTTCAAATATGAAGAGGCTTCTCAGATGACTTTTCCCAAGCTCAAAAGCCATGGATTGTGAAGTTCGCTTCACTTTGGAAACCACTTAGATGCTTCCGGGCTCTGTTTGAAAGTCCCATTAATTAGTTTTAAACTTTTTTTTTCCCCCACCTTAATCTCATTTTTAAAATAAAAAGCAGTTGACTCCTGCTTCGCTCCTCCCAACTTTCAGGCCTGCTTCTTAACAGTGACTTCCAAAAACCTTTGTTTTCAGCACTTCTGTTGGTTATTTTCGTACCTCTAAATAACGTCGGATTTATGTGTCTTATATATTAGCTAAAGAAGTTACATACTCCTAACTATAAGAAAATAAAGATCTAGCTTAAACTATTCTTTTTTTCTCTATCCTTCATTTCCTTTTCCATTAAAAATGGTGATTCTTTCATTCTTTGAATGGCTACCTGCAAAACTTCAAACAATATACTGAAATTTCTCTTTCCTGTGTCATCGACTTTAGGCAGTGTCCCTTGATCTCCTGCTGCATTAGAGGCTTAGTTACTCTCATTCTGCATGGAGAATTAGAATATGAAATTCTCAGTTCAAAATCATTTTCAATGACAATTTTAAAAGCCTGTCGCAGTCTTTTTTAAGATCTGTTATTTCTGATGTCCGTTTGTCAATCACCGTTCTATATTTCTATAAGTTTTTAGGTTTTGTTCTTCTTTGATGTTCTGGAAAGTTCATAGGATATGTCTGGGCGTAGGCACTTTTCATTGACGCTAGACCCTTTTGTATTAAAGACTTTCTTTATCTCTGGGGAAATTTTTCTTTATTTTTTTTTTTCCTTTTTGATTTCAGTCGCTCTCTTTTCTCTGTTCTTTCATTCTCAAAGTCCTGGTAGTCAGATGTTCAACTTCTCTGTACGCAATGTCTTGGGCCTTCTGCTTTATATTCTGGGAGTTATCCTTGACTTTCTCTATCAGATCTTTAACAGAATTTTTATATCTCAGCGAATTTTTGTTTTTCAAATTTACAAGGCTCTTTCTTGTTCTTGAATGGTTTCTTTTTCATAGCTCCCTGTTATCTTGTGGACACAACATCTTCTTGAAGAAATTCTCTTCCAGGGCACCTGGGTGGCTCAGTCAGTTAAGTATCTGACTTAGGCTAAGGTCATGATCTCACACCTTATGGGTTCAAGCCCTGCGTTGGGCTCTGTGCTGACAGCTCAGAGCCTGGAGCCTGCTTTGGATTCTGTGTCTCCTTCTCTCTCTGCCTCTCCCCCACTCACACTCTGTGTGTGT